AGGCAGTTCATAGGAGATTTTGAGTTGCCTAATGGGAGCTTAGTCTCAAATGAACCATCTTTTTCTGTAGTTGCCATTGCCAATTTTTTCACTTGACCACACTTCACCAAAACCTTAATTCCTGAACCATAAAAAAAAAAAAAAAACAAAAACAAAAACAAAAACCACATTTTGTACACACTTAGGGTTCATGAACATAAAAATTTAAAAAGAAAGAAACAAATATATATAGAGGGAGGAACATTAAGGACAAAAAAGAACCTGAGAAATCAGTATTTTGATGGCAGTCATGGCAAGTGACCTTGGCCTTCACAACTTGGCATGTGGAGAGCTGAATGTTTGCAAGAGCCAGAGCAAAGAGAAGTGTTGTTGGGAGCACCCAGGAAAGCGCCATGGAAGCAAATTACTCACAGAAACAGAAGGCAAACTTTTTTGAAGAAAAGATGGCTATGTTGAAGCTTATAAAGAGAAGATGTGAACAAGGCCCATTAAATGAATGGCCAGTTTAGTAGTTGGTCTGACTGAAGGTTCTTTAAATTTTACTTGTCCAGAATTTATGGGCATGTGACTTTCTTTTACATTTTCCTGGTCACCCTGCTGAAGCTGCCCTCTGCATCAGATACACAGATGTAACATATCTAATGGCTAGTTAGTTAATATCTGTCAGAACAAAAAATAATAATAATATAGGTACATTGTGCATTTTGTCCTGTACTGTATGTTATTTTAGCAATTTCTATATTATTGCTCCCATTCTCAATCGAAAAGCTTTAATTATTATGTTGTTTTGGCGCTTTTATTTTTATTTTTATTTTTATTTAATACAAGCGATTAAAAGAGTTGGATTTACACAAATATTCGTTAGGTGCTTGGAAGTTTTGAATCGATCCGCTCATATGAATGGAAGAAAAAGAATTCAACTAACTGAGCTATACTCACTGACTCTCTCTCCTTTTCTTTGCTATCTCATTCTCTTCAAATCTCATCCATTAAAGCTAACTTGAACATAATAATAAATAATTTTTTTGAAAACTAACCTCAATAACCCAATGAGCTAGGAGTTCTTTTTTCGGTAAATAAACAATTGCAAAATACCAACTTGGCTAGGAACTGAGCTTTTTACTTCTTAACCTCAACCAAAAAGTGCCTAAATTCCTCCCAATCCTCACTAATTGGACCCATCCCATCCAATTAAGCTAACAAACTTTCTTAAACATAATCTAAAGTCAAACGAAGAAGGGACAAGCTTTTAAAAATAAAGAGCGACTATATATATTTCTGATCCAAAGTCTTGCTTTAACTAAAAAGATTGAGAGTCTTATTCCATTGTAAACAATAATTTCAATGAGAAAAGTGCACTGCTAGATTCTTCTTAAATAAAATTAAACCGTTAACATTTGAAAACTGAGAAAAGGAAAGCTAGAGAAAATGAAAGGGATAGAAAAAGAGAGCATCCCTTTATATTCACCAATAAAGAACATTAGCAGCTAACAGAATCCGGCCATATGTGACAATGGTTAGTTTGGAGGAAGGTAAAAAAACAAGAGATATTTAGTTATATACCCATTGTTAGCACTAATAGTATAGATAAACTCTACATAATTTAATTTTTACAAACAAACCCAAAAAAAACCCAAAAAATGATATATGACCTTATTGAATTTAATTTTGATTATTAAATTACTTTGATGCCCTATTGAGTGTTTTGGGTTTTTTATAAATTTGTATTTTTTATATGAGGTTTTGGAGGTGGGCTTGTTTTAATAAATTGATGGTAATTTTGTAATTTATAAGAAGTTAAAAGCCTCTTTGTTATGTTGTAAATGGACTTTGGGTGTGTTTCTATAGTTTATTTTTTATTTTTTATTTTTAATAATTTGATTTCCTATATTGGGTATAATAGTGACTCTCCCACAAAAATAGTAAACACCTATATTCACTGATTTCAATCCACTTGGATTGTCAGGAGGATCCACCACATACAGTGGCAGAACCAGGATTTCATGTGTAAGGGGGGCCTCTTACAAAATATTTATAAAAAAAAAAATTTTGAACTCACAATTCCAAAGTAACCAAAAAGACCAAAGCATCATACATTAAAATATATATATAATGATACATTTTTTTTTCTTTTGGTAATCTACAAATTAATTGAAAGATCCATTGAACTTAATAGAGAATAATTCAAATTTTTTTATTATATATTATATGGAGAATAAGTCGTCACAAATCTAGAGAAATGGGTGAAAATGACTCTTAGGCTTGAAGGACTTGTGTAAAAAATAATAATATGTATACTAAATTTTTAGAAAATTGATCTAAAACATAAAAAAAATAAATGTAAACTTGAAGAGAAAACCCTGCAAATATTAGAAGTATCATAAAAGATATTAATATATAATATTTTTAATATAAAAATGAGGTGGGGCTCAAAACCACACTGGTCCCCTAGTGGCTCTGCCCTTAACCACATACCAATATAAATTTCAACATCTACCTAATTCCAAGCATCAATTCGATTTTAGCACAACAAACAGGGGAAGTGAAATTAAATACAGAAGAAAGAACATTAACTTTACTGCAGGAAGGTTGTTGATTATTGCTTTCTCAATATTTATGTATCTTCTGAAAATCGTACCCAATCCGCTGGTTCATGCATTAAGTCTGTCTTCCTTCAAAATTAAGTCTGTAAGGAAAAATTTAGCTGCCTCCCCATCAACTACTGCCTGTGTCCTACATTGTCTTCTAGATTTTTAATGGCTTTGAGCTCTCTAAACTTTCAAAACATTTACTAAAGCCAGTTCTTGTGAGTTCACGTCTCCAACTGGGACTTGACACACACTATGTTAGATTGTTGTTCAATTTAACAAGTCCAAAGTCCCAATAATAAGTTCGTCAAACATCGAACATACATTAGTCCAATTTAATTAAAATAATCCAATCAAGTCTAGTCCAACGTATCTAGGAAATAAGGTATTAGTCGAATTGTAACACCTTTTATGTTTATTAGAATATTAGTTGGGCATTGATAATCTCCTTGTTTATGATTATTGTTTTCATGTTACAAGTGCCAGACACACCGAAAAATACGTGCAGAGGAGCACAAACATAAATGGGGGACAACCGAGATTTTTCCTGTCAATTAGATCAAGAATGTAACTTATAGAGTTGTGACTGGTGTGAAGTCCTAAAAGGCCAACCAAACAACCCGAAGATCTTTGCCTCCAAAGTAATTAACTTGTGTGGGGAATAGGTCCTAGCTTAGGGCAAGTGGCCAAGGGAATTGGGTTTGTGGTGTCCCTCCATTAGCTGGTTCTTCAAGATTGGTTCCCTTGGGTCAAGACATATCTCATTAAATGACCCACAATTTTTGGGTCACATGATCTCCCCAGGATAGAGCAAGCATATTCATGGGTTTTTTTTTTTTTTCCTTCTTCTTCTTTTCTTTGGTTTTCCAGGGTCGGGCTATCCATGGACCATGTCAATATATTTTTAACCAGGTGTCAAGATATTTTTATTTTATGGCATGTGATGCCATAAATGTGGTTCAGAATTTTAACCTGGGAGCTCTAAGGTATGATACTGTCAGGGTGGCTAATCGATACATTTTACGTGTGTACAATTGTCCAAATTTTTTTAGACGGAAAATACCCTTAAATTTTTAAATAATTCATGACTTATGAAAATAACATTACAAGCAAAGCAAGTTTTCATATTCTAAAAACGTCGTATTATATTTTCATTATATAAACGCTGTTAACGCTTAGTTGAGTTGTACATTACAATCACTCACTAAGATATGCTATTAAAGCTTTGATATGATGCTTGCGGGAAATGAATCTACCTCTTGCTGATAGCAGTTTAAAACTTTTGGATCTGATATTTTCTAGCATTGTAACTTTTATGCATTATATATGTACTAATAACCGAAAAATCGGTTTTTCTCCAGTACTGCACTTAGTGCAAACACCCTTTCACATTGTCCAACTAGTATATTGTAGCACAAGTCTCCGAACTAGTACATTTACCCGTTCAAGTACATACTCTACCACTAAAAATATAAACCTTAACTGTTCGCACTTAATGCGATGAAGCAGCGAAGAAAAAATGCTAATAAAACGTCATATAAAAGATACTCTTGTATAGCTCACAGGCTAACACTAATATATCAAATAATAGAGTGATTAGTGCAGATGTCATGTCTAGATTAGAGACGTAACCTGCACTTGGCATGCATAATAGGAAACAAAAATTAAATGAACAACGAATTCGGCGATGATGAATATTGCCGCCCCATTTTCTTGTTGTGGCAAGAAAGATTATTTATTAGGGAGGTTAGATGTCCTTCTCCGCACAAGATGAGTGTGTTTGTTTCAAGTTTTAGGGGTACAATGCCACCCGTGATATCCATGCATATTCCTCCTATCATTCTCTTTAATAATTGCACTTTCAACTTGCAGGTATATGTATATCCGTATTGACGACTTATCGGGTTCTAAGTTGGAATGAGACTGAGCTAGAATTCTAAGAATAGTGAGGGGCCAAGGCCACTTTTTGCCTAGTTTTCGCTTCTCCCTTGCTAACTTGGTCACTAGTTCAGCGCGAATAAGTTCACCGAAAAGAACAGAAAGAAAAGGAAATATGCAATAGCATTTGAAACATTTCTAAAGACAATTCCATGCATGCTATACCTAATAGTTCACCCAGCCATTTATCATTCCAATGCACAACGGCATTCGGTCCCAAATCCCAGAATTAAACATTATATATACTGCAGCACATAAAGGTAGCTAGAAATAACTGAAGTTGGCGCCGAAAGGAGAGTAGGTTATTGCATGTTAAGTTGTCTAAGCTAGTGTAAAGTATTGCAGTTAATGAACCAGACATTTGATTTGTCAATCAGTAAGAGGAGAACCACATTTACTCATTTAACTGAAATAAGATACAATTTACTCATTTAACTGCTTTTCAATCGTTTAGCACTTTTTTTTTTCTTTTTCTTTTTTTGACAAACTGGTACTTGAATGAAACTAGGGTGTAAACAAAGCACCAAATACAAACAAGCAGGAGTCCAATGACTGGGGACTACAGGCAGATGAAAAATCAAAAGTGGACATAGCTTTGGATACAAATTGGGAAGAAAGAGACGCTGCTTCAAAAAGCCTTATGTCGTCACAAACCAGCCAGCATCAGTCTAACCATTTTGTGGCGGTGGGCATGGTAGGCCATCCTTGTTTAGAATGCCTGTCAGAGAGGAACCCTAAATTAGTCTAAACCCTAAATCATTTAGCACTTGAGCACTATATATGTAATTTAATCAAAATACAATTTACTCATTTAACTGTAATAAGATAAATAGACTAACACAATTGTACCTATAAACAACAAAAATTCACAGTGTTAATCAAATGGCTAAACATTATACAATTATGATAGTTTTTTTTTACAAGATGATCCTTAATGATGAATTATGAATGAACTGTTCGAATCATTAAATGACATGGTAAACTGTGGCTAAAAATTGTACAATTATGATAATTTTTTTTTTCCAGGATGATCATTAATGATGAACTATAAATGAACTGTTCGAATCATTAAATGACATGATAAATTAAGCTCGAATGAGTAAGTATCCATGTATTAACTTAATTCTAACTAGTTCGTTTGAACATAAGGAAACGCCAAAAAAAACACTCTAGTTGCTCTCTCCTTCTGTGAGTCCCAAAGAAAAACTCCACAGAGGGGGGAGGAGAAAGACGCGTCATTGCCTCTCCTTCCCTCCTCTCTCCTCACTTGTTTCTTTTGGTATTAACTTACTAACTAATTAGTGCTTGAATGGTATGTATATAAAGATTGTCCCATTCTTTGCAGCATGTCTAACACCAATTTCTCGAAGGACTCTTGTTCCTCTTATTCGGAAGGATGTCTTTTAACTGGTTGTATTTTACTCTTGTTCATGGATTGTATTTGCAAGACTCTGATCAAGAACATTGTTCGTGACGGCCAAGCTAGCTAGGCCATAATGCAAATGCTCAAGTCAAGTTAAAAATCAAAGCCCAGAGAAGGCCGAACAGCCTAACAAGGCCAAGCAAATATACCAGACCCAAAACAGAAACAACAAGGACAGCACCTCAAAGAAGCTAATGGGCAAAACTAAACAACACATAGGAAAGGTAATTAAATCAGTAAACTAGGAAGATTCCAGAGGATAGAGAGATAGAAGAGGGCTTAATTGTTGAAGGTACAAAGCCGGCATCTGATGGCTGTAAAGATAGACTTCTTGCTCACCAGACTCGGTTAATTTACCGGTGAATTACTGTGAACTGTAAATTTACCCCTAAAGATTCATTCACTTAATTCGGACGAAAATAGCTTAATGATCTTGCAACTTAAAAGATCTAGCTCAAAGGCACAACCTTTTCATGCATGTTGCAAAGCATTTGATCTATTTCTCCTTCAGACTTCATGTCACAGCAAAAGATCCAAACAATTACAACCTGTGCAATAATTGTATATTTAGTTCACCTAATAAACTTTAATATAGCTCAGGAAAGAAATCCCCCGTCCACTGAACAAATGGAACCCCCTAACTCCGATGCTGATTCCAAGACCTCCAAACTTAGAATAACAATTTCAATCTAGATCTAGAACTCATCTAATGGCCCAGAATCCATTCTGCTTCAGCTCAAAGATAATGACAAAACATGAAAGTCCCACATGAACATGTACAACAAAACCCTTCTGAAGCACACAATTAATAAAATGCAGAAGATAAGATATTATTCAGCACAAAAGATAAATAAAGATCCAATCCCCCCATAACTTTTCCTGCACCAGATTTCAGAATGAAGCATGAAAATTCTGTAACACAGCTTGAATCAATTATCAGTCATCATTTTTAACAGTTCGTGCTAAACATAACTAACAGGACAAATCATGAATTGAAAACACTGCAACATTAGGCCCCCCAACATTGTCCTCACACCAAACTCTTTCAGAATCTTTTCCTAGTACATGCCTAAGGCCCCCCACTATGCCTAACAAAACAAAGTGATTGCATAAAAGACACATTATACCCTCACTTTGAAATGACCCCAGCTGCTCACTCCACTCAGGATTAAAGGCTTCAAGACACTGTAAAGGAACGAAATGATTATCTCCCTCAAAACCAGTTCAAACTCTTAAATTATCTCCATGCACCGACTCTTTCAAGTGTACAACCTACTATGTTCCAAATTCCAATATACCTTAGATAATCATCTTGATATTCAAACATGAAGGTCTAAGCTCAGGAAGAGAACTGCAACTTTGGTTCAGCCTCGCAGATTTATCCTCAAAACCCTCATAAATTTCACAATAATAGTTAGAGGTTCAGAGCAGTCCCAGGCCTCTGGCCATAATCTCATCTTCGGAGAAATCCTTACGAAAGACAATTTTGGTAATGCATTTTCAGAAAATCACTTACAGAATATAATTAATGACATTAAAATTGCCTCCAAGCTAACAAATCTGTTTAAAAAACAAAGAGTTTCTCAAATATTGAGTTTGGCAGGCCCACCCACCACAGTACTGCATATTACAAAGTTTCCAGCTGGCCAAGCTGAATATATGATGAAAATATGAGGATATTCCAGAAGAGGCATCTCAACAAAAAGTAATATGTATTATGCGTTAAAAACGTTTAACTAAGTAATAATCATTGGTATCAGTCATATGACTCATACTGCAAAACTACCATATCTTGCAGCAACTTAAAATTCTCCAATAAGTTTGATATGCATAAGAAGCTATCAATGGATTGTCTGCAAAAGGCCATGATCTAAAAACCTTGTAAAAGAGTGGTATCGAGAACACAGAAACAGAAGATGAAGTGCGAACTTTCTCCCAAATTTGTGGTGAAATCAAGGGCACAATACAAACAGGTGAAGCGTGAACCTCTTCCCCAAATTTCTATTCTTTCTTTCTTTTGTTTTTCTAAATCACGGTTTCATTAAGATTAATATTCTCTTATAAAAAAATTAAAATTAATATGCACATACTCTTATTTCCTTCCTTTCCCACTTTATTTCTTTTTAATGGACCCAACTTTCAAGTCATCCATCTGCCCTACCAGGTCATTAATATAATAAAAATGACTGAACAATCCAAACTCAACCCCAGTAAGTTAAAACAATATCCTCAAATATAGTATGGTAATTTCAGATAAAGTGCTTGTGGATACTACCATAAAGCAAATACCAGTGAATCTACAGGAAAAAGCGTATCCTACTAGAAATATCACCTACGAGGAGCAAATGAGTTTTAAAAATAAAAACACAAACAAATAATTGGTTCTTGGTCAATTATAAAGTCTTTAGACCTCTACTTTAGAAAGATCACAAAAAATTCAGTATGCTAATTTAGCACTATGATGTGACCGGGCATAATCCAGTTAGTAGTCACACCTATTTTCTAATTCAATTCTAATTATTTAAATCTCCGCTTTAAAAATATTTGAAAACGCTCATTGCCCTTAATTGGAATTATGACAGGCGGCAGGGCACAACCCAGTTGGAAATGACACCACTTCCTTCTGTAAAGAGGAAATATCAAATTCACATCCTTCTCCATCCCTTTCCAAAATGCAATAACCAACCAAAAAAATGGAATAAATGACATTTACGGAATATCTTGCAATGCAATTCATTCTAATTCACTTTCTAATCTGTTCATGCTAGTACCTTCTAAGCATTATCGTGGAGTGAAACTAACCACAGCATGCAACTCACAGAGAAAAGGAAGAGAGAAAATTCTAGATATTTTGCGACCAAAATGTTTTTTAGTGGTTAACAAAAAGATTCATTGTTGACAAGCCACGAGTAATACATTGATACCATTCTTCAGACTTATTTTAAAGAATACACACTATCAGTTCATTGTCAAAAGTTAAGGGAGTGAACGACGGAGAACTCAATCCTAATGAGTGAAACTTTCGTTTCATCATCACTGAACACAAACAGTATCATCATCATCTTAAGCTAACATAAGTCATACATAAAACAATTTTTATGTATTTTTGGCCCATAAAACACTTGTGTTAAGCAAACGACAATTAGAGTTCTTATTGCAGCCTATTGATGTTGATGAACTAATTCTCCTCTGTCAAAGTTAATATATGTCAAAGTTTTTGGTTTTATGAGTGAACCCTCTGCTTTAGCAACAGCCATAAACAATAAGCAAAACAACTTTAGAATACCATGCCTCTGCCTTCATTACCTCAGAAACTAGAACATGAATTAAAAAAATTAAAAAATTACTCAATAATCACTCTATTTCTTCCAAGATATACTAAACTTCCCTGAAATTACTCAACACTTTAATCAACCACTTGAATATTGGCAACTAATTTAACATGGAAAAAACAACAAAGGAACAAACTCTGAAATTCTTTTCCCAAATAAAAGAGAGGAAAAGTTATAAAGAGTTCGTCCTCAATCAAGAAAACCTGTTTGCCGCCACACCGCATTGCGAACCCGCCTGAGATCTCTGCCCTTCAATGTTCTCCCCACGCCTTCCAGCACCGAACACGCGAGCATCGGCGTGTGGGACGAGCTCCTGGCCACAATCTCATGCGGCGGCAGCATCTCGCCTTCTCCTTCGTCGTCATCATGGTCATCGTCCACGGCGTCAAATTTGCGGTGCTTCCTCATCGCATTGGCCAACACCGGGACGTTCAACGGCGCCGACTGGTGGTACTTCACAGAGGACAAAGGCGGGTAGTTAAACCGATCGTGAGGCGGCTTCGGAATCGCCGGGATTAGCTGCGAGGGCGAGGACGACGCGGAGGATGAGACCGAGGACTTGTGGTAGAAATGGGAGTGGGGTCGGTGATTGGAAGAGGAGGGCTCTCGTTCCGGGAGAGCGGCGAGGATGCCGAAGCTCTCTGGTTGAGAAAAGCCCTTGTGATGGTGGTGGTGGTGGTGATGGCTACGGTGGCGCGGGGTTGAGGAGGTAGAAGAAGAAGGGGTTGAGTGGTAACTGGGTTCGGCGGCGACGTCGTTGCTCCAGAAGACATCGTCCTCGTTGAGCTCGTCGCCGATGGAGGTGGCGGGGCTAGGGTTATTGGGCAGCGCGTGGGGATACGCGCCGAGGAAGCGTTCGGAGGGTGTGGTCGATTTCTTGGGGCGGAGGCGGGTCGGGTTGCGAGTGTCCATGTGGGTCAGGGTCGGGTCAGTAAAAGTTGGAGCAACGGAGGTGGTGTTGTGCTTTTGTCACCAGAGGGAGCGAGGTGGGGGTTTGAAAGGGAGAGGTGGGGGAGCGAGAGAAGGGAAGGGAGTCGGGAGAGAGAGTGAGAGGATTCTTATAAATATTTATTGACCTATCTGCACACGGTTTTGTGATTGTGAGGGGTTTTTTTAAAAGGTAATAGGTAGTTGTGTTTCATAAAAATAGGGATTATTATTAATTTTAATTTTTTTAATATAAAAAAGTATGAATTTATTATATTATTTTTATTTAATTAATAATTTTAATATTTGGATTAATTAAGAATATTTTATGGTATTTTGAATGTTTCAATATTTTCTACTTTTTACTTTATATATAGATAAAATAATTAAATCTTTTCATTAATTACAATAAAAATAAAAGATTTCAGCTAGGGAGTGACATGGCTTCAACCCGCACAAATTAAGGGAATTTTCAAAATATATGAAAACTATCCCAAAAAAGATCGTTATTTAATTTTAAATTCATAAGATATGCCAATAATATTTTAAAGGATTTACGGGTTGAAGGTCTTATACCAAAACTCAAAATTAGATGCTACTTACAATGATATAAAATTTATCATTTTGTTTGAGTCGTCTCCATGTACACTTCATGACAATTAACTCAAAATTATGAATTTAGCGAACAAATTATGCTATGAGTCTTAATAATGATATATAATTGCACATAACCGTATATAAAAATTAACAAAATTATATATCATTTTTCACTCCATAATTCAACAAGTCTTAACTTCTCCTTTAAAATTATATACCATTTTAAACCTGAAAATCTTGTTTTTGTATTTTTTTTTTATAAAAGGTAAGTAGTAAAAGTTCATTGAAATTGTGAAAGGTTACAGACTTGAGCGAACAAACGTGGCCTCATTAAAACCTTGCTTCGGAAAACCCAATTGGGACAAAACTTAGGACGAAAGAAAAAGAGTGTCACACGCTCCATAATGGCTACAAACAAAATATCACGACAACTCTAGATTATTAGCGTTAGCTTGAAGAAACACATTGAACCATGGCGGACCCTCTTCAAGCCAAACGTCTATGGACACACTACCTAAAGTAAACTTAGCAAGTCTATCAGCCACAGTATTACGCAATTTGGGAGCAAATACAAAAGAAAGAGATTCAAAGTTTCTAGATAACATGTGGATGTCGTTGATAATCCCCCCTGCAGCTTCAAAAGCCTCAGTGCCAGAGATGATGTCGTTAATGGCATTCTTCGCATCTGTCTCAACAACTAATGAATCGTAATTGGCCTCCCATGCAAACTGAAGGCCTTTCCGAATTGCTAAGAGTTCAGTAATCTTAGCAGAGAAACATCCAGTGATAGGGACTGAAATAGCACCCAAAAGATCTCCATGCACATTTCTTACAACTGCCCCCAATCCACACTTCCAAACGAAAGTACTACAAGCACCATCTACATTCAGTTTCAACTTACCAGGAGGGGGAGGACACCAATGAGTAGAAGAGGGTGAGTGAGTATGCACAGGTGCAGTGTTGACGGAGATAAATTCAACTGAAAGACGATGGGCAGTAGCATACAAGTCATCAGGGTGACGTCCCTTTTGGCCATGCATTCGTGCATTTCGATCAAGCCAAATAAGCCAAGAAAGGTAAGCAAAAACCTCCAGGTCAAAATTCAAGCCCACTGAAAATTACATGGCACCAAAGATCTGCAAAAGTAGGTTCATGCCAAATGTTAATCACTTCACTAAGAAAGGAAAGTTTCCAAATCCTTTTCACCTCACGACAGCCCCATAAAGCATGAATAGTGATTTCCTGAGAGCCATGGCATTGAGGGCAGCAACTATCATCTCCAATATGTCTATAGGTAAGGGCCCAACGACAAGGTAAAGCATTTTGTAAGGCCCTCCATAGAAAAAGCTTAACTTTATTAGGAACTCTTAGCCTCCAAACTTGTTTCCACATTGAACTCGAACTTCATGCTCCACTACCTTGACCAACAGTAGAGCCACGAATATTCAAACCAACATCTCTTGAATGATGTAGCCCAATCCAGTATCCACTACGAACTGAATACTGACCATTAGAAGTATAGTGCCATAGAAATTTGTCGTAGTGGGACGAGAGAGAATAGGAATGGATAAAATAGCTTCAGCATCTTTGTCCAAAAAATGTGCCCTTATATACGTTGAATATCCCAAAAACCACCACTTATTAATTCATAGACACGTGTGTGTTCAGAGGAAAGGATGGTGGTGGGCAATAATCAGCAAGACAACCAAATAATGCTCTTGCCCAGTTTAACGGTATTAACACAAAAAAAATATAATATTAAGTTTCATAACCATGTTAAATAATCACCCAACATTATTAACAACTTTATTGCCAAAATAAATATAGGAATTGAAAAAAGTGTGATCATTAGGCAAAATCTGGAAAATTAATTTCAACAAAGAAAAAATGAAATTTATTGTTTTATTTTGAAACAATATATGCATGTGCACGTAAAATAGAGTAGGCATTTTTTGTATACCAATGTGTATGCAATCAAGAAGGCATTTTTTCTTCTTCCATGAATTGGCATTTCTAGATTAAATAAAACAATAAACAGACAATACAAACTCTGATTTCTAAAGAACAAAAAGACCATGTAGATAAGATCATGAAATAGATTTCCATTTTCCATTTTTCATTTCCATTTCTAGTTATTTATTTATTTATTTAAAATTTGACAAAACTAAACAAGTGGAAAATGATAAGTTTATGTATTGTCTCATTTCACAAAATTCAAACTAAGTTAATTTCTTGGAATCAAATATAGTTATAGCAATGCTCACACTTGCATAAGATAAAGTATCAATTGGTAGCACTTATCTCGCGATATATGATATTGGACCCTTAATATGTCGATTCCATCATAACTCCCGCTTGAAATTAGTGTAAATCTCTAGTCCATAAATAAGATAAGCTTTGGACTAGATCGTTAGTGCAATATATATAGAGTGTTGCTATTTCCACCTCCCTATTCTATTTCCCCACCCACTTTATTTTCCCACCCACCATGTAAATTTGAAAAAACATAAGAATAATACTAGTCTTACCACATTTTTTATACCACATGATGTGGCGGCTGATGTATACATACCACATCATGTAAAATAATAGGTTCTGTTTTCTAATTTTATTTATTAAAATACACTTCATTCATTTAATTGATATGTCATATGATATGGACATGCCACATTATGTGGTATAGAAATGTGGGATAATAATGTGATAAGTGTAGCATTACTCAAAACATAATCCTATCTTTTCACCCACCATTATTCCTAAAATACCCTTTAATTATTATTTTCTTTTTGTCAAACATAATAATTTAAAAGATAAAAAAAGAAGCTTAATGGAACTTAACAATTAACTCCTGCAATCGTTATTCTTCTTTTCTTTTTTCTTCTTTCTTTCTCTGCAGTTTCTCCACCCAATTGTATAGGTTTTTTTTTCCCTCTTCCTTACTAAGTTTGGTTGGTTTTGGTGGTGGCTTGAGAAAATTCAGGGTTGGGACCTACGAATTGAAGGGTACATAGTCTCATTGTTGAGTTGGAGGGTTTGTTGGGAGAGGCTGTAGGAAGCAATGACAAATGTAGATGGCGTATAAGAAGACAGGGCTGAGAAAGAAAGTCACCTTAAATTGAATTTGAATGATTTTGATTATTATGTAGAGATCAGTTAGTCATTATAAAGAGAGTCTACAAAATAAAATAAAAAATTCTTCTGTTTTGGAGAGTTTGTTTAGGGTTTAGGAAGGAAGAAGGAAAAACCAAACCTATGCAATTGGGTGGAGAAGCTACATATATAAGAAATAAGGAAAAAGAAAAAGAAAAGAAGACTAAACTGATTGGGGGAGATATTGACCCAAAAAAAAAAAAAAATTGATTGGGGGATGATGTTGCAAACAAAACAAACAGGAAAGGGGGAGAGGTTGAAGAGATAGGAAATAGAAAGGAAAAAAAAGAAAGATTAAGGTTCAAATTGTTAAGTTGCATTAGAGTTTTTTTTCTTTTCTTTTTTAGTTATGAAAAAAATTCCAATCCATTGGATTAAATTTTAATAAGGTGGCATAAGTCCTTAAAAGTCATTTTACAAAGGGCTAAATTTGTCCTTAAATTTTGAAGATAAGGTGGGTGGGGAAATAGGATAGGAGGGTGAAAATAGTGGCACTATATATATATACACAGCCCCCTTCTATTGAGGGATCCTTCAAATAATTTTATTTGAGGGACGCCTTTTAGGTTGCCCTACAATTTTTTTCCCAATAATCCAAACAATCTATTTTTTAGGTCTTCATTCATAGATCATCCTTACAAAAAATTAGACAAATCGGAAATCGTTTCGACATCCAATTGTGTCTTACAAAATCAATGAACACGGTGCTTCAAGAACGTACTAAAATTTCAATAACTCAATTGAGTGGTTAAATGATATCGGATTCAAGTGATTTTTTGTAGAGATGATCTTTGAATGAGTATCTACAAAATAGATGGTTTGGATTAGTGAAATACAATCCGGAGTGAGGCCTACAAAGGGTGTCCCTAAAATAATTTTATTTTAAGGACACCCTTTAGGTTTTGTTATGGAAAAGATGACGGTGGATTCCACGACCATTTGGAAATAGAATACACGACGGTGAATTCCCGTCGTGTTTTTCCTTTTTTGTAGTAGTGTTGTTTATCTGTAAAGACGACAGTTTTTAAAGAAAATCGTTGTTGTTTAGAGGTAAAGATCGTTAATTATAGGAGAAAAGACGACTGTTTTTAATAAAACCGTCGTGGATTGTTTATAAAGACGACAGTTTGTTTTATAAAAAAACCGTCATCTTTACATACAATAGATGACCCTTTAAAAAAAAAAAGGTCATCTTTACCTATAATAGACGACACTTTTTTATAAAAACCGTCGTTAATTATCTGTAAAGACCATGATTTATTATAAAAATCGTCGTCTAATAAGTTTCCAAACTGCTACATTTTAGTTCTTTTTGATTTACTATGATGCTATACAACAATTTTAACTAGAAAACCAACCAAAATGCTTTATTAATGAATATATACACAAATAGTTTCTTTCATAAAACTTGAAGATTCAATAGTTATTACATAGTTAACCAATCTTTATTCTACAACAAACATAATTCCTAACAAGACCTAAGTACTCCTAATCCAAGCATTCCTCATCCAAACATACAAATGATGCACAACTGAAGTCTCCTCCATCATCCCTGTAAATAAATCAAAATGACAAAGAGAGAAAAAAAGCTAAGATTATAAACATAAAAAATTAGGTGGAAGAGAAATTTTACCATTGGTCCATATTTCTATAGAAAACTTGTAAAATGAGCACAAAAAAGACCATCGAGAACCTGCAAAAGGAAAAATATATAAATAAAATGATGGTGAAAAGAGAAGGTAACAAATTTTCAACAACAAAAAAACATACGACTCACATAGAAAACCTACAAAAGAAAAAGTTATAAATCTGCAAGCTTCCTCCTCATCTCCTGATAACCAAATCAGAAAATCTAAAAAAAAACCAGAAATATAAAAAAAAATATGTAAACAAACCAGACAAATCAAGAGAGACAAAATCTGAAATTAGGGAGACAAAGAACATACCAGAAACGCAAAGAGACTAATCCAGAATTCACTAGCAAGATATAGAAGGGTATTTTAGAGAGTTTCATGAGAGTGTTTTAGAGAGTGCAGGAAGGTTTCAAGGAGGGAGAGATAAGGTTTTCAGAGACGGGGGAAAATTTGAAAATTTGTCGAGCGCGAATTCACTTAAGTAGCCTTTTTTTAGCGTGTTTTAAAAGACGACGCTTGTTAATGAGAGATAATGTTTTCAAAGATGGGTGAGAATTTGAAAATTTGTCGAGCACGAATTCACTTAAAAGGCCATTTTTTAGCGTGTTTTAAAAGACGACGCTTTTTAAAAAAAGATTGTCATCTTTACATATAATAGACGACCCTTTTAAAAAAAACCGTCATCTTTATATAAAATAGATGACCCTTTTTATAAAAAAAACCTCGTCTTTACTTCATAAAACAGTGGAAGCAGAAGGGACGTAGCGGGAATTTGCAATTTTATCGTTCGAGCTTTGATTGAGGTCCATGATTCCTTTCTGAAAAGGGAATGAAGCCAGGAATCAGACTCAGCACTTTGCACTACCATATGGTCGTTTTTGGCCATTTGAGGTCGTTTAGCCTTCCAAAAACGCATTTAAAGAGTTGAAAGTAAAGACGACGGTTTTTTTTTTTTTTTTTTAAAAAGAGTCGTCTATTATAAGTAAAGACGACCCTTTTTTTTTTAAACAATCATCTTTACCTATAATAGACGACTCTTTTAAAAAAAAAACCGTCGTCTTTACTTTCAACTCTTTAATGCAAAGCACTGAGTCTAATTCCTGGCTTCATTCCCGTTTTGGACCTCAATCAGAGCTCGGACGACAAAACTGCAAATTCTCGCTACGTCCCTTCTGCTTCCACTGTTTTTATGCATCAAAACTGGATAACAGCCCCATACTAGTTACATACATCTTTATATATAATAGACGACCCTT